TTTTTATACCGTAGAGATTGGGGTGCTGATGACATCACCAGACTCTGGCAAATGACAGTGGAGCAATTGGAAGGGGTTTGATCCGATTGCTTACACCTCTGGCGTTCGTGTTTATTAATGCCCGTTTGCCATCAATGAGCGTGATCAGTCTGGAGCAGCGTTTCCCAAACTATGGGCCACAGCCCGGGCTGGACGGAGGATGCAGCCAGGTGAAACAGTGGAAATGTATTCAGTTTTCATTCTTTTTTTTACGCGCATTTATATTTTTGGGTTGCAAAAAACAGTACGGAAAAAAAACAGGTTCCAACTAAAGTAAAAAGTTTGGGAACCCCTGGTCTAGCCAGCTTTCTACCCACCTGACAGTCCATTTCTCCAATCCTTATTCCCGTAACTTGCTGGCTAGAATATTGTGGGTGTCCGTATCAAAAGCTTTTCTAAAACTGGCACTCGGGGCTTTAGGAGGACCAGAAACAACGTATTTGCATATTCATCATTTGCTTAATGTATATGCAAATATGCAAATGAATGTTACTGGTCCTCCAAAAGCTCGTGAATGGATTTACTGGTCCCCGTGTCAAAAAGTTGGGGAACCTCTGGTCTGAAGAAAGGAGCCTGCTAGAGATTCCTCCCCCAGCCCTTCCTGGGAAAACTCTGCTAATCTCCCAGACATCCAGTCGGTCCTTTGGGAAAGCTGGAGTTGCTATTTCTCAGCGAGAGAACAGGCAGCCACGTGACTCCTCGTCTCAGACCATCACCGAGAAGCCAAAAGGGCGGATTCTTTTCCAGGTAGCCTAGACTGGGCCCACTTAACTACTCCCTCGGCCTCAGGAATTGCCCTTATCTGCTTCACTCAAGTGACATGTGATGTCTCCCCTCAGTGGCGAGGCCTAGATGAGAGGAGACAGCGATGCAAATTGTTGGTTGATTTCATGTCTGGCTAGAAATAACCGAGGTCTGTAGAACTAGCCTGGGAAAGCGACCTGCGGAAGCAAAATGCAGTGAGGGGATGTGCGTTCCTCTAGCCCACCCTTCAGGAAAAGGCTGAAGCTGATCTCAGGGCCTGGCCGGTCACTGATTCTTGAGGAAAATTGAGCTGATGATGAGTGGTTTGGATTGGCCGAGGAGCCCTGACAGTCAAAGATCTGGCTTTGGCAGAAAAGCTGCAGGCGGAGCTGCCGGAGAGAGAGGGAAGAGGTTGACAATAACTGAAAATGGTTACAATTAGGAGATGATTTAGACATCTGGAAAGTTTCACTGTAAGCAGAATTTCAGCATGTGGAAGCTCGTTACAGGACTGTTGGGTAATGAATTATGGACTCTATCCATCGCATAAAGCCCTGCTAACCGAGTTCCATCCCTCATTATACAATTACACTCGTATTGTCTCAGCTTCCCACCCTGCAAAGCAAAGAGCTTCCCCGTGGCTGCGTGTGCTGCTGTCACATAGATTTCAGAGGGGTATTTTTCAGTAACTCTTCAACTTTTCTCCAGATTGTTGAACCTTTAAATTGCTTAAAGGATTCCACTCTGACTTGGCAGCGAGTCCCATGAAGGAAAGGGGGGTTGCCCATTTATACGGATTAAGCCAGAGCTACAGAAGGAGGGTTTAGCCAAGCAATATGAATTGGCCTATATGAGTTGGAAAGCCAGGGCTAGAGAATCAGCCTTGGACTCTTACGGGTAGCGCAGGAAGCAGATCTCCGCCATAGGCAGCTTTCTGCTGAGACCATTTTTTAAAAACATGCCGCCTTCTTCAAGACCACGTGGCTATAAATTAACTAACTAGGAGTCAACAGTGCGACACCGATGCAAACAAAAGCCAACATGATCCTGGGAAGCATTCACAGGAGTGTCGTGAGCAAGACACGAGAAGTCGTTCTTCCGCTCTGCTCTGCGCAGGTTAGGCCTCAGCTGGAGTATCGTGTCCAGTTCTGGGCCCCACATTTCAGGAAAGCCGTGGAGAACTTGGAGAGGGTCCAGAGAAGAGCAACACAAATGATTCAAGGTCTAGAGAACAGGGGCTGTGAGGGCTTGTTTAGTTTGGAAAAGAGAAGACGGAGAGGGGACATAATAGCTTGCCAGTACCTATGAGGAGGTACCTAAAAGGTACAAGGGGAGGGAGAAAGATTGTTCTCCTTGGCCTCTGAGGACAGGACAAGAAGCAATGGGCTTAAATTTCAGCAAGGGAGGTTTAGGCTGGACATGAGGAAAAATACCCTGTCAGGATGGTTAAACACTGGAATAAATTGCCGAGGGAGGTTGTGGACTCTCCATCACTGGAGATATCGAAGAGCATTTCCAGGCAGTACTGAGCGAGGCAGCGAGCGCTCTGCCTGGCTGAACTGAGCAGTGGGGACACCAAAAGTGAGGCCGGCGAGTGGCCCTGGAAGGAACGAAGACAGAACAAGCCACTCAGCCGCAGGGAGCACGCCCCCTACGTCCCGAGCCACCTCGCCGTGGAGGTGCCTGTGCCGTTGGACCGGATGGGCCCACTGACGGCAGCCTGGGGCGTGCGGGGCTCCTGAGAGTGCTGGTAGGGCTGCCAGATACTTTCACAAAAAATCCCGAACATGGTGGGGGAAAAAAATTGGTTGAGAAAAAAAAAAAAAAGGTTGCTGCGCCTTTAAATTCCTGCGCTCTCCCCGCCCTCTGGCTTTCCGTCCAAGGATGGTATTTTTACATGTCCAGTATTTTCTGGGTTTTTTTACCCAGACAGAAGACGCAATTACTGGACTGTCTGGTCGTAAACTGGACACCTGGCAACCCTAAGCGCTGGCCCCATAAGAATGCTCCTCCATTGGTGTCGGAGGGCTGAGGCACTGTGCGGGGGGGAGCGGACCCAAGAGTTGCGCTTCCACATTAGCACGCGGTGAAGAGCCTGGCGCTGCCCTGGAACAGGCACCGTGTTTTCTGCCCAGCCCATGAGCAGACACCTCAGGCGGGGACGGCGGGAGACAAGTGGGCGGAGGTTGCTCCTCGCTGCCCATGTAGCTCGTCGCCATCCTCAGCTGAGGAGCAGAGACTTGGAAACTTGGGGTGTGCCTGGGAACCCCCCGCTGGGCCTGCTGCCTCCGCCCCGGGTCTCCAGCCTGTTTGCTTGTCAGCAGAGCGTTAGCTTGGCCGCCGCGCCGCATCCTGGGCGGAGTAGCCGGGGCGTTCCGTGCCATTGAGCTGGCTGGCGACTGGCCAAACTCCACTCCGACCCATTGTCCAGCCCCACTTCCGAGGCGGGTGGTTCCCAGCTGAGTAAATAAAACCTGCTGGGAACAGGATCTGCTGGGGAGCTGGGAACGGGGAGGGAAAAGGAGAAATGGACAAGTGGCTCTTTGGTGATAAGCTCCCACTGGAGCCAGAATCCAGGTGTTAAAGCCACGGGAATTTGCCTGCGATTCGGGATCAGTGGGCAGGAGTCTGTCCTGAATTGCACTGGGGTGGCCTGGGAGTAACTGCCGCGTCTCCAAAGCAGTTGCTCTGGATTTACACCAGCCTCTGCAAGCAGGATTGGCTCCAAATGCCAGGACATTAACTCCCCACGCCCTCGCAGCCCCACCTCCGTGGAAAAGGGCCCAGGGCAAAGGAACATTTTCACTGTCTTTGAGCTGCTACATTGCCCATGTGGCCAGGAGCCAAAATCCCTGGGGGCTCCATTACTGACTCTGTGTCCCCTTGGGGAAGTCAAGTCACTGTTTCCCCCCTGCGAGTGAGGGCTGGGGGGGACTTCCCCACTGCCCGCCCGGGGGGAGAACATGAGTTAACGTCTGTTTCCCCCCTGCGAGTGAGGGCTGGGGGGGACTTCCTCACTGCCCACCCGGGGGGAGAACATGAGTTAACATCGGGGCAGCGCTTTGCTTTCACCGTCTGGGCAGTTTACGTTTCCCTTCTCTCCCCCTTCGGGCATCAGCGCTGGACTGGCCGGTGACTTGTGGGGTTCGGTTCCTAGGGCTCGGGCACCGGCCCACGGCGGCTCTTTGGGCTCAGAGCAGAGGCTGGGAACGTTCCAGGCCCAATAGCTCTGTTCACTGAAACATGAAGCGCCGCAGGGATATTATTTTCCCTGTTAGGCTTTTGTAAATCCTGACTTAATGAAACCTGCCCGGGGCCCCTGATCCTGCTGACAGGACTCGCACCTGAAGGCTGCTGGGAGCCTGCCCTTTCTGCTCGTTTGCCTCCCACCATCTGCAGTGGGGCTAACGCGGCCTGGTGCATTCAGTTGTTTCTCTTGCAAGTTTCGGAGGCAACCGAAATAAGGATGGAAAGTTCCATGTAACTGGATAAGCTGATAAACGCCGTGTTTAACCGGTTAATGGGGGGCTGGGAGGGTAGGCTGGGCTGGAGAGACTCCCTCCACCCCAAGCCCACCACAGGCAGGCCCCTCAGTGCTCTGGTTGCTGCTCCAGGCCCCACCTGTTAACCAGAACCAGTAAACATCGCCCACTAAAGGGGATGCTAACTGGTTACATTTCACAGGCCTAGACCAAAACTCCTAGGCTACGTCTGGATATCCCGGAATAGCTATTCTGCTTCTTTGGAGCACGCCCGTTATTTCGAAATATAACAGGCTCGCTATTCCACCATCCCCGTTAAACTTGTTCCACGAGGAGCGAGGAACGTTTTGGAAGAGCCGGTTAAGAGCCGGTTATTTCCGAATAAGTGCCGTGCAGACAGCGCCAGATTTCGAAATAAGCTATTTCAAAATAACCTCGAAATAGCCTTGCAGCTTATTTCAACCTATGGTGCGGACGCTCCCTTCCTGTGCAAACCACTGGTTCAACCAGGCAACCTATCCCCTTCTAGCAGTCGCTCCACAACAGAGGATAAGAACCTGTTATTGCTGCTGGTTAGTGGAGTTACTCTTTTAGCTCAGGGTGCCAGCGGAGGAGGGGTCACGCCCCGGGGAGTCACGCTCGGCTGTCTGACTTGCCCGTCCCCATCTCCTCCCGCCCGCAAACGAGGCTCCCGCTCCGAACGCTGACTTTACAGCCCCTGAATTCTCATTGCAGCGTCTTCCCGCGAGAGCTGAAGGAGGTTTTTGCGTCGTGGAGACAAGAGTGCAGTAACCGCGGCCGGCCGGACATCAGCGAGCGCCTCATCAGCGCCTCCTTATTCCTCCGGTTCCTCTGTCCGGCCATCATGTCCCCCTCCCTCTTCCACCTGCTCCAGGAGTACCCCGACGACCGCACCGCGCGCACGCTGACCCTCATTGCCAAGGTCACGCAGAACCTGGCCAACTTCGCCAAGTAAGTGGTGGGGGTGGAGTCGGGGGTGGTCCCAGGGGGCATAAAGGAAACGGTGGCGGATACGGTTGGAGGTGACTGCTCAGGGCTAGCCCGAGGGCCCGGAAGACGGCCATCCTAAGGGTGGGGGGAGCCGCAGCCCCGAGCTGCTGGCGTCCTGTGGGAACACTGGTACCGACTCAGAGGGGAGCGGGCTCCAGAGACGTCATCCTGGCCCTGTCCGCGAAGCGGGGATTAATGCCAAGTGTGATGTCAGGAGCTAGCCCAAGACTGGCCACCGGAAAGCGCGGCCTTGCACAGACAGCTTTGCTGGCCGTGGTTCTTCCCACCGGGCGGGCGTGTCCCCCGCTGCTAACTTGGGCCACATGCTGGACAGACAGACTGACAGAGGGACCCGCTCTTTCCTCTGCTCTCCACGCTGCCCCCCACAGGAAAGGCCAGGCCTTACTTCTTCCCACCCTGTCAGCCCTCGCCTGGGAGAGACCATTTTATCCACCAAACCAGCCTGCGGCGAGGCCTTTTCTGAGCTGGAGAGTGGCCGGCTCCCAACATGGGGAGAGGCTGATAGGGCAGAAACGGAAACTCCCACCCGGTACCAGCCACCCTTCTGTCCCCCGATTCCCTGGCTGGATGTGACCAACGTGCGGGAACTCTTCACCAACCCCCGACTGACCGGTGCCGGCGGAGGCTGCGGTGTCGGTAGCCCTGGGGAAATCAAACTGGGCTCAGGGTCCCCCCGTTGCAAAAACAAACTCCTCCGACCATGCAGGCCATGAGAAGAAGACAGGGACACTGTCGATCTCTCTAAGCCCCAGAGGGCTGGGGGGAACAAACGAAGCGATTTCTGCAAATCTTTCCGCTGCCTCCAGTGGAAGTGCTGAGCTCCTTATCCAGAGCTCTGATAACAGAGCGCTGAGCTCCTGCAAATGTGACCGGGCAGCCTCGGCCTAAAGCTGCTCAGATTTGCAAACTAATTTAAGCCACGTGCCCACAGCCAGACCCAGACAGGAGATGTGCCAGTGTGTTATTCGCAGGGACAGAAAGTCTCCCTCGTTCTGACCAATCCTTAACTAAAAGGGTTTCCAAGTTTCGCTGCCTTGCCAGAAAGGTTCTTTAATTAAGCTGGCATGAGTCAGCCAGCCGACTGAACGTCAAGGCGGGGTCACTGTCAGGACCTAAAAGGGTGTCATGAGGAGGGAGAAAAATTGTTCTCTTTGGCCCCTGAGGATAGGCCAATGGGCTTCAATTGCAGCAGGGGAGGTTTAGGTTAGCGATGTGAGTGACTAGTCCCTCGACTAGTTACTTTCCCTCCCTTGCTGCTTCTATCAGAAGAGGCGGAGGGGTGGCTGGCTCTCAATACATTTAAAAATCAGAAGTGCAGCAGGGGGGTGGGGACCCAACGCAAGCCAGGACAGCTGATTCCCAGTCTTGTAGCCCGTCCCCGCTACTGTGGTTCAGCCTTTTAAATGTATTAAGAGCCTTTCAGCTCTTAATACATTTAAAAGGCAGAGCCGCAGCGGGGTTAGCTCCTGGGGCCAGGAGCTAACGCTGCTACAACTCCCCCATTTTTCGACTAATTGACTAGTCGATGGATTTTCCAGCGACTGGTTGATTAAACTAGATTTAGCATCTGTAGTTGAGGTTGGACATTAGGAAAAACTTCCTGCCTGTCAGGATGGTTAAACACTGGAATAAATTGCTTAGGGGGGGTCGTGGAATCTCCATCACTGGAGATATTTAAGGGCAGATTGGAAAGGCACCTGTCAGGGATGGTCTAGAACATGGGTTCTCAAACTGGGGAGCATCCCCCACAGGGGGAGCGTAAAAAAATTCCAGGGAGGCGCCAGGTGACCCAGCTCCCCCCCGTCAGTCTCTCCCAAGAAAGAGCCTGGTCCGCTGGAACACGTGCAGCTCGGGCTGGCTGGGATAGACTTCATAATGGCCACCTTAAAAGGGCAATGCCTGCTCTGCTTTTAAAAGGGCAATTTTGTTTTTTTATTTCGCTCAACAAGTTTTGCTGCTCTATCAAAAAAGGGGTGTGATGCGGAAAAGTTTGGGAACCACTGGTCTAGGAGGTGCTTGGTCCTGCCGTGAGGGCGGGGAACTGGGCACGATGGCCTCTCGAGGTCCCTTCCAGTCCTAGTGTGCTATGAGTCTATGACTTCCCCAGCAGCCGCCTCGGCCAGGCTTGTGACCCCTGCAGTAGAAGAGGCTCTCTCCTACTTCCAATGAGATATTTTATGTGGAACGAAGACCGGACAGCATTGGGGAGGGGGGGGAGAGCGCAGAGTCCAAACAAACATAAACTGGCTCCCAAAGAGAACTGGGAAGAGCTGCAGGGGCAGCCCTAGACGAGCTGCCAGCAACTGGCGCCCTAGGTGAACCATGCAATCAGCGCCCCACCTCCAAACCCCTCACTGATATTGCGCCACCATTTGGCACCCCATTTAACTTGCCGCCCTAGGCGACCGCCTAGTTCGCCTGTATGGACGGGCCGCCCCTGGGAAGAGGTCAGACAGAAACTCCGAGGCCCCCCCGGTCTGGCATTGCACAAAGGCCATTCAGAGGGTGGACTGGACCGACCGGTTAGTGCATAGGAACAGGAGAGGCGCCTAGTGTGAGCGGAGGGGAGGACTCTTGTAGACGGCCCTTGGCCAGTGTCCCCGTGCATGATCCTACCTTCAGTTATCCTTCCGGGGCCAGAACCGGCTCCTCCCCACTCTCCTAAGGATGCCGGGCCGGTGCAAGGTACATCCTGGCGCCTACTTTCACCCCTGCACACGGTACCTCGGAAGGACTCCCGCACAAGGGGATCTGGCTGAAAAGGGCCGGCACTGAGCACTCCATCATCGGAGAGCCCTGCCAGCAGCCGGCCTTGCCTGCCTTCTGCACACGTGGGCGATCCCTGCAGCTCACTCTACCGGGCAGGGACAGCCCCGCGCCTGGGATTGTTCTCCTTAGGCTCCCGAGTCCAGAGGAGCCGTGCCACTGCATGGAGAGGCCGGTCCGGTCCAGGGGTCGTGGGCCCTGGATGCAAGGACACCTGCGCTGGCCCCAGCAGAGTTCCTGGGAGCTTTGCCCCATCTCGAGCCTTCGTCCGTGGCCAACCTACCCTCCGCTTGCAGCGAGCGCGACGCCCGCTGTCCTGCCGGACACAGCCTCGCCGGGCGAGCCATCCTGTGCGGGGACAAGGCTGCCTCTGCCCCACACAGCAGATGCTCTGGCAGGCAGGCTGCTAGAAATGACACCGTTCACATGGCTGCACGCAGGAGCTCGGCCAGGGGCTGTCACTCCGCACAACCAGGGGATTCAGGGGATGGGTGACGATTCATCGGAAGGAAGGGCTGCCCGACCACCGTGACTCGGCCGTGGTTCTTCCAGGAGCCGGAGCCGGCCAGGTCGCACGGGAGGGACAGGCTGGGTCCCTGGTGTTTGCTAGGCAGGCAGGCAGGCGCAAGGGAAGCTTTTCCGCAGGGTTTGATGAGCGCAGAGACGGCTCAAAGCGGCGAGATCAGCGCCAGCCGCCAGCTTGCAAAGACGCCCCCGTGCGGAGGGGTGTCTGGAGGGGGGGTGGTCAGAGCCCCTGCTCGGGGTGAGCCCAGTGTGGGCCTCGCTCCCTGTCGCCAAAGCCGGAGGCAAAGGAGGTGGATAAATGGCCCGGCACTGGGTTTCAGTTGGTGCCAGGGGCTCTTTGGCCAAACTCATGGGAGAAGGGGCGGAATATCAGAGGTGTGCCCATTGGGGGGCCCCTGCCCTCCAGTGAGCTTGGCGCCACAGACACATTGGGCTTTTCCTGCCTCCTGCAGAGAGGAACACGACTCCCCTCTTTGCTCGCGCATCTCGCCAGGCTCAGTGCTGGGTTTGCTGGCTGGGAATCTGGCGCTCCAAAGGCCTGGAAGGGGCATAGAATAAAACTCCGGCTCAGTCCCGAGCTCGGATCCTCCCTGGGCTGTTCACAGCTGGCGCACGGGGCGCCGTTACTGCCCGGGGCTCGCTGAGGTTCCTGTGCCTGTCTTGGCAGGTTTGGCAGCAAAGAGGAGTACATGTCCTTTATGAACCAGTTTCTGGAGCACGAATGGACGAACATGCAGCGCTTTCTGCTGGAGATTTCCAATCCAGAAACCATCTCGAACACAGCCGGCTTTGAAGGTTACATCGACCTGGGCCGGGAACTGTCCACGTTGCACTCTCTGCTGTGGGAGGTCATTTCTCAGCTCGAGCAGGTACCGGTGGGGAGGTGGAGGGGCCGGCTGTACGGGGCGGGGGCACACCTCGGTCAGACACATCCGGGGAGGGGCTGGGAGTCGAGTGCCCTGCACTGCACAGCAAACTGCCTGTTGTCTGCCCGACACGGTGCGACTCCTGCTGGTCCCTCTGGGAATTAGCTCGATTCGGCCCTGGAGCGCCCCCTTCTGGCTGGTGTCGCACCTGCTGTTCCCTGTTAATGGCTTCACCACCTTGCATTAGGACCCATCTCCTGCCCAGACTGCAACGCCCTTCCCTCCAGACACTGCCCCGTGGCAGGGCCCCCCCACTCTGGGGTCCTCCCCCTCAGGTCACCATCTAGCCCCTGCCTCAGGAGGAATCTGCAGCCTGGCATGGCCACTCCTCCTTGGCAAGGGGGTGGGGACCTGCTGCAGTCGCCCACCCTGGCTGCCTCCCCGCAACCCTAGTGCCCCTCAGGCCCCTGTCACTGGGCCTCAGCCTGGGACTGCTCAGGCTGGCGCTCCCCTGGCTCGCCCTGCCTTCCCCCAGCTCCGCTCTGGCTGTGGTACCTCAGCTAGCCGGCAGCTGGGTCCTTCTCCCTCCAGGGCTTAAGGGAAAGTGTTCTCAGCCCGGCCAGCCATCTCTTTTATACAGCCCTCCTGGGCTCTGATTGGCTGCCACAGGGCCTCTCGTGATTGGCCCCTAGCTACAGCCCTCTCCTAGGGCTGTTTTAACCCTTTTTATGCCTAGAGCAGGGTGGTCACCCTGCTAGAGTCAGGAAGGGCTAACTGAGTAGCAGGCGCACTGCAGCCTAGCAGAGCTTAGCTCTTCTGTAACCTTGCCGACATCTGTCCAATCCTCACAGCCCCCATGGGGCAGGTAAGAAAAGGAACCCCCCTCCCCTTTGTCCAGTGGGGAAACTGAGGCAGAGCAGGAGCAGAACTTAGGAGTTGCGGGTTCCCATCCCTGTGCTCAGAGCACCAACCCTTCCCTGGGTCTCAGCAAGTGCCATGACTCCTGATGTCCGCTAGTTTCACTTAAGCCAAGCCGTTTTCATTAATGGTCTCCGTCAAGAGCAGCTGGGCCAGCCTCAGACTTGCCTGCTTTCGTCTGTGGGCGGGCGCTGCCGCTCCTTGTCTGCCCCCACTACAGCGATGTGCGGCTGGGGAACCTGATGGAGCTAAGGAGGATCCTGGGCCAGCTGGCCGGGGTTCTCTCCCCCAGGAAACAAGCCACCGGTAACCTTTCTGTCCCCATTTCCCCCCAGGGCACCATAACGAAACTGGGCCCCCTGCCGCGGATCTTGAGGGATGTCAACACGGCGCTCACTAACCCAGCATGTGTGCAGGTCTCCGTCACAGCCGACCACACTGCATCGACGCCCAACGCGGGCAACAGCATCTCTGCCGGGCTCCAGAAAATGGTGATCGAGAATGACTTATCTGGGTAAGGGAGCGAGCATCCCCGCCGGAGGGAATCCGCCTGCCCACGGAGCAGGGAACGAGGAAACTGTCCGCGAGCGTCAGCCTGGGGGGCGCCCAGCTGGCTGCATGCAGAGCCAGGCAAAGCTAGGTGGGGCTGGGGAATATACCATGCTCCTTCCCCCTGTGAGTGTGAGGATGGGGGAAGGCCTGGTCCTAAAACGGGGTGTGTGCAAGTGTGAGAGCAAGGGCGAATGACCAGGAAAATCCATGGGAATTTTGTGCATGGCAAATGGGCAGGATCGGGCCCATCCACTTGTAAAGCTCTGGATTGGTGCTGAGTATGGTTAGAGGCAAGTTGCGGGTGTTTCCTTGACAGTCACCCATCCTTTGGAAGTCTCAGAGGGGTTGCCGTGTTAGTCTGTAACTTGAAAAACAACATGCGCACCTGTGGCACCTTAGAGACTAACCAAAATATCTAGTATCACAAATTTCCGTGGACAAAACCCACTTCCTCAGGTGGGCTGGAGTGGAAATAACAGACTCCGAGATATACACAGCCGCCGAAGTAGTACCTGTCGATTGTGTTAACGAAGCTAAGTAAGCTGGATGTGTCCTGTGCATGGCTTTTGATGTGGAAATGCGGATGTTAAAGGCAGAGGAAATTGGCTTTGTACTGCATTAACCAGTTAATGTCTTTATTCACGCCCAGGGTAAGTGTCAGATGTGTAGGTGAATTCCAGTTCTGCAGTCTCGCCTTGGGAAGTTTGCTTATTGGGGTTTTCAAGCTCTTCTGCCTCATTTTAGTTTTATTAAATTCTAGCAGAAATACCCGGCATCGCTCAGGGAAAATATAGTAAAAGGTGTGATGAATGAACTACCTCAATGACATTAACATAGTATATTTTATTGGAAATACTTTTCTCTTGTATATTACTTTAAGAAATTAACATCGCTAGTACTTTTTCTGTTATCATAGGGAAAGGATCTCGTAGTTGCAGTGTATGTGACACGCTTAACAGAAAAGTCCAGCAAATACCTATGATCAGGCGCTACTAAAAGCTAATTAGTGGCCCAGCTGGGGTTCTGGGGGCCCAATTGGGGCTCTTGGGGAACCGATTTCGAGATATAACCAAACCAGTGATAGAAGTTAGCAAATCAGCAGTATCCGTGCAAAATGTGGTGTTTCTGGTTCTTACCATTTCGAAGATCTTTCAGGACAAACTAACTAACTAACTTTCGGAAATATTTATAAGATGTAAAACCACTGGCTGTTTTTCATGAACAATAACCCACCGACAGACCAGTCCTTGAACACACTCGTCTTGGCTTCCTCACTGAGGGATTCCATTCCTGGTGACTCACAGCTGCAGCACTAGAATGCACGTTGTCTTGCTGTTGGCTGACGAGGCAGTGGAACCCACACGAATGAAAATCCTAGACTCTGAGTGCTGCAAATTGCTGAACAGTCTCATTAGGAGTGAGGGAGACGGCAGGAGGAAGCCAGACTTGCTCTGTAATCAGAGCTTTCATCGCTAATGCTTCCCTGCATGGGGTCCAGCTCTTCACGTTTTGTGCAAGGGAGAATTTCTCAGAACAAAACGCTCCGGCCTAAATACTTCCTTGGAAATGCAGCCTCTTGGATCTGGCGTATTCACGTTCAAGCCCTGCAAAGCCCTAGCCTTAGCCACTGGAAATCGATAGGGCACCTACCTGGCTGTATGCCGGAGGAGGAACAGGGGAGGAGGCCGCTGCCTGGGCTTGGAACGCCGCAGTCCAATTTGTCACTAGTTGTTATGGTTGTTGCTGGTTTTTAATCTGCGTTACCCTGGCACCGAGGAGCCCGGTCATGTCCCCTTCCCCCCTGGTGCTAGGTGCTATTCAAACAGACCAAATGCTGATCCTTGTGCAAAGAGCTGACAATCTCAGTACCCAGGGGCGGAGCCACGGGTGGGTCTGAGTGGACCGGGCCCCACCCACTTATCCTCCACCCCTGCTGTGCTCCTACCCCTGCACGTGCCCTGCTCGGCCAGGCTGGTGGGACTTGCCATGCTCCGCCCACCTGGTGCTCTAGCTGGGGAGCAGGATTGGGCACGGGGGCTTGTAAGCCCCCAACCCCCTCCTCCCCAGCAGGGAGCACCAGGCCCCCGTGACCTGGTCCCCTCTCCCCCGCTGGAGCTAGGCAAGGCTCACTGCCTCACCCCCGTTCCCAAGAGCTGGGCCGATCGGGACACCCCCCACCCACATCCCATTCCTGGCTGTAGATGGGGGTGCAGATGGGGGTGCACTTTTCTTCACCCCATCCCCTAAGGCGCTGGAGGTGGCCCTGATGGCTCCTGTCATCACCCCCTTCCCCCCGTCGTTTCTGCCCACCCTACAATGGGGCCCACTTGTGCACTGCCACACAAGACAAGGGGAGCACAAGGAAGCAGTGAGACAGAATCGGTCAGCAGGGTTGTGATGCTGATGCAGGACAGTGCCTCTCACTCACCCATCTCCCCCTAGTTCTCAGCCCCTCCCGTGTGCAACACACCTGCCCCTCACCCACACCCTGCCACCCCACTCCCTTCCCTCCCCTACCTGTGTGTGTTCCCCTTCATGCCCAGACACCCCCACCCTGACACAACCCACTTTGCTGCCTCTTCCTGCCAGCGAGGTCTTGACTCTGAGCGGGTCAGGAGCTTTTCAGCTAAATCGTCTTGCATCAGAAAATGCTGTTTTGTTGAAGACGATCATTTTTGGCCAGGAAAGATCCGTGCCCACAAATTTCCTGGCTTGAACAGTGTTTAGAAATGGGTTTAAAACATGGGGAAACCATTCCCTTTGGACGTTTTTCTCCCTGCTTGCCCGTTCTTCGCAGCTTTTCATTTTGCAGAGTAAGTGAAATGTATAGTTTAAAATGAGTGTAAATCAAAAAAAAAAAAAAAAGAAAAGAAAAGAAAGGAAACCCTTCACTCCATACTGGTTATTTTTTCCATGAACATTTTTGAAATTTTGGTTTTTTGCCGTCAATCTGGACTTGGCTAAACCTCAAAATGTTTCCCAGCACCAAATCTCTGTTTTCTGCTCAAGTTGAGCCTTATTCCCCATTTTTTTTTTTTTTTTTTGCCGGGGGAGCAGTGTTGTGACTGAGTTTTGCATGCACCCTCCCCGATGTCACGGTGGGTTGGGTTGTGTGCTTAGTTTTACGCTGCTGGGCCGTGCTGATTTTCCTGCCTGTTTCTTTTTGCTGATTGCTTTTGCCTGCTGCAGTGTAGCATTCACAGCTCTTCTTTTTTCTTCTCCTCTCCCCTTCCTTTATGCGTTTATTTCCCCGCAGTCTGATAGATTTCACACGGTTACCGTCTCCAACCCCTGAAAACAAGGACTTGTTTTTTGTCACAAGGTCTGCTGGGGCGCAGCCCTCGCCCGCCCGAAGCTCCAGCTATTCGGAGGCCAATGAGCCCGACGTGCAGATGTCCAATGGCAGCAAGAGTTTGTCCATGGTGGATTTGCAGGACAATCGGATTTTGGACAGTGGGGCTAATGCGCCGGGGGCCGTGGACTCCCTCAATGACAGCCAGACGTCCGCCGGGCAGTTACAGGGCGTATGGACCGCCGCACGCACTCAGCAGAACAACGTGACGGGCATGGCCACGGTGCGCAGGGCAGGCCAGACCCCCACCACGCCCACCACCGAGAGCGCGCC